ATTTATTTATTTATTTTTTTTAGCCAATTCATTCCAGACTTGTGTCTGTTTGTTTGGCTTGTTTGTGGTGGGGGAAAATTATATCAAGCACATTTAGAATCATAATTAAATATCTTAAATTTCTGAATGGACATTTATTTAATTTAGTTTACATTTAATTAAGCAGTGAGGCATATAACACTAGAAATCAGCGAAAATTAAATGTGGGTAATCCGTTTGGGATTTATTTTTGCTGTTGTTGATATTTATTACTAATTTTATAGAAGCCTGAAATTTTACAATTCATATTTCTAAAATCAATTTTCAATAACAAAGAAACAAACAAAAATACAAATTTACAATCTACTTATGTATGAGGACTTTTGAACCATGTCCACTGCACGTTCATGTTTTTTAGAATAATTTAGTTTGACAAAATTAGTTGTGTCTTGTTTATTTTGTTATTTCACAGACACRAATTTTTTTTAAACATTTCAATTAAAACAGTACTACTTTGTTTACTTAGCTTCTCTTCTTACATACAAAGCTTTTATATTGTGACATCATGCCATGGCATAAAACACATCCGTTCATGATGATGTTCATCTAGATTGACATAGCTCACATTATCTTGATTCCTGAGATACATGACGTATGTGTTGCATGTCCCATACGAGTGGTCCTTTTAGTGTTAGCAATGTTATTAATGGACTTAATATCTGCTAATTCACAGTTTCACTTAAAGTGTAGTGAGGAGCTTTTAAGGGTTCTACAACTTTACAAATTGTGACAACTTGTCTCTCACTTTTTCCAGCAAGTTTAAATATCTTCATGTTTTATTCAAAATACCACTAACATAAAAAAACTAAAGGAAATAAAAAAGAGCACACCAAGTATGTTTCATTTTACTGTATGTGAGCATACTGAGATACAACGGCTGTGTTTGTGAGAGAAAAAAAAAAACTGGTGTTTCAGAATGGGTTTGTCAGCCATTGTTAAGGACACTCTTTACATGTTCAAATATATTCATGTGTTTTATGACACAGTCTGTTATTTACTTGATTGTGTCCAAGTGGGACATGGGATTAGTTGCTGGCCTTTCTCCAGATCCACTTAACTTCAAATGGGAGAACAGGACAAAAGCCATCTGACAAGACAAGGACAAATCATCTTTAGATTAAGTGTTTTAAGAGCCTTGATGCCCCTTCCCCTCCACGTCATCACCATGAATTAGGTGCTCTTTGCTTGCTGCTACGGGGTGTCGAATATAAACAATGCCAACAGCAACGGATRTTAAACCWATGAAAGTGGAAAATCATGATGGCGTCTATCTTAGTCAACCTCGTAAATCTCAGTTCTCTTGCCATGCCACTGTACCATACTGATGTTTTGCTCTGACAACATGCCAGCTSAGCTTGGAGCGGGTGCATTTAAGGTGGTCTGGTCGATCCCGTTAGAAGCTGTTTCAACAATAGCCGACTCTACAGGGGAAGCCATGTTTTTGTTTTATGCAAATCCATGCATATGAGAAGTAAAGGTTAGGTGAGTGTGCGATGAGCAATCTGCCCACGTAGCTCTAGGAGGACAGCTTGAGTGATGTAGATGGAGAGCCAGGTTTACGTGTCCTTGCCTGAGGAAATAATGTCCTGACTCCAGCTCGGACAACCGAGACACCACCAGGACACTGTATCCCAACTTAATCCATGAATATAAGTAAGATTTGGGGAAAACAAATAAAGATTAACACTGGTATTAAACACTAATGTGTTCCACATGTGAGGGTGTGTTATAAAGGCAGGCACACCTCAGGGGTTTGCCATGCAGGGACATTGGTTTTTGTAGCCCAGCAGGGAGTTAAAAGACACAGAAATGCTGACAAAGATAAAACTCCAGGTGTGTGCATTTTGCTCTGTAGGTTTTAGATAGAGGCTGTGTATAAATATAAACTTGGCAAAGACATGCTTGAGTTTTTCTACATGCATGTGATCAAACCAGCATTCAGTAAGTGGTAGGCAGGGTCACTACCTATAAAACCAATTCATGACAGGAAAGTTTGTTTAAAATCTGCTGAAGCATTGTCGCCCACACACCACACCTCATCCCAGCGTAGTTTCCCATCACAAGTTTTTTTTTGTTTTGTTTCTCTACTTCAGGGCAGCAGCAGTGTAAACAAAGTCTTCTGAATGTTTTCAAGGAGCCCCTTTCACATTTGCTTGCTAGTCATAATGGCTGCTCAAAAGCTCTTTTATCACAGCAAGCTCTATTTCTGGGTACCAGGATGTTGGTCTCAGTCATCGAGGGCAGATGAAATCGATCCAGATTGACCTGTCATGTGAAGGAGAGAATGGATGAGATAGAGGAGGCCATGGAGTCTAAGGGGACAGTAAAGAAGTATAAAAAAACATCTCATGCACCATGTGGGTCAAAAGTCGAGAAATGGTTTATTCAAGAAAGGGTGGTGCATCTCCTTTACCCCTCCTCCTCTTTTCTTTGCTCCACCTGCCTCAGAAAGGAGTGAGAAACTAGAGACTGCTCAGGAGGAGATACCTATATTTAGCGGTGGTGACCAAAGACACTGTGGTSTAACTTTAAAGTTAAAAATATAGATATCCATGTACAGTAGGATGTGAAGTATTTGTCATTACAGGGCACAGACACCATGCTTCAGATGGGGGACAAGAGAGCAAAGCTTTATTAAGGTCCTACTTTTACTGATTCACTGAGCGATTTCACAATTGACCTGAAAAAGTATAATTACACGCATGTATGTAATCACAAGAGTATACAACTTTGAAATAGTAAGATAGAATTATGGCTTCTTTTAACTGTGAAATTAAATTGAGTTTAGCCTTGATGTGGACTGAGCTCCACTTTGTTAATTATTTTCTTGTCACAGAGATCTCAGCATGGTGCAACATTTTCACTTGGAGAAGAGAGGCTGAGTGTGCAAGTGCTTCRTCAGTCCTGCTCTGGGTGTGAGAGACTGCTGGGTCTCTGGGGGGGAAGTGTGTAGGCAGGAAAGCGTGAGACCATGGCCATTATAAGGTGAAGTTTTTGAGATGAGGGCAGACGTATCATAGGCCATCAGTGAAAATAATACTATTGTTTGGGACAGTGGAGCATCATGATGCTTGTTGTGAAGCATCACATGTAGCTTTATGGTAAAGCCACTGTCAGCCGCTGTATTTGGAGATCAGAAGCACTTTAGAGCAGTGGTTCTCCACTTGGGGGGGACATGTGCCACCTGGGGGATCGGAAATGGGGTAACCTTGTGTGCTGGTCAGAGGTTATGAAAATATCAATTCATTGTTTGTATAAAAAAAATCACTGAAACAAATAATTTTGAATAAGTACAACTGTATAACTAGTTTTTTTCACAAATTAAAGTTCGTAATTATTTTTGATTTAAAAATAAAGTTAAACACATCTTTAGGAAAGGTGGGGAGTAGTGAGGGACTTGGAGGGAGGACTCTGCTTGGCTTGAAAGTAAGAAAGGGGGGCTTTGATAAAAATAGGTTAGAGCGTACATACAACACAGTAAATGTTCATAGATTCAATAAAGTGTATTAAGAAATATGTTTCAGATTTCATTTAAAATAAAAGTAGCAATGAATCATGGCTATGCATATTTTATTTATCTTGTTCTTTTTTATTTCTACTTAAATATTAAATGTTTTGTTGTATTTGATACCCTAAATAGCTCCTCCTCATTGGTCTGTTTTGCCATCCCCCCAAATGTTTCTCTTCCTAACTAAACTTTGCTTCCTTCACCTTCCCTCTGCTCCCGTTCTGTTACCAACGTCACTACCCGACTCTCTCCCACCTTCCTCCCCTCCCCTCCCTCCCTTATGCCTCATGCTGCACCTGCTTCCCTCCTTCTTTCCGCTCCCTCTCCAAACGTCACTTTTCCACTCCCTTCCTCCTCAGCTTTATTCTCCCCCTCGTTAGCTTGATGAATGGCTTCACTGCAGGGAAAGTGCTGATTTTCATTCCTCTGTCTGATTTCTGCTGGCTGTTATTAATTTCAAACACTCTGAGAAAAGCGAGTGAGTCAATAAATAAGGAAATGAACACACTTCATTCTGCCATGCTGCAGCACTCACAGTCATTTACTCAGGTTGTGGGTGCTCACAGGAGGCCGGGGCTGCGTTTATACTGATAGTGTTCAGTTTTACTCTTGAATCCAAAGGTGCTTTCATCCTTTCTAAGACAGGAGCAAAAGTTGTTGAGTTTCACTGCAACATACTGTATCAGATGAT